GGAGAATAACTTATCTGCTAGTTTCCATTTCCCAGTGGTTACGACTTGTTCCATGGAATATTAACTACCTATCCCTTCTAAGACCACCAAAGAAGTCTCCTGCCCCATCTGTGAAGGCCACAGCCTCCTACAGGGCTTGTTCTTGAAAAGGTGGTCAGAATCCCTTAGCAGAAGTGGTTGAATAAGAACAAATAAAGGCTCCAGATTCAGGTGATGCATTGACCTGTTTGGAAGAGAGTCCCTCAGTATTTAAATATGTGGTAAAATACAGAATACCTGATTTGGGGTTTTAAATGCCCCCAATCATTCCTGGTATGAAATTTTGTTTTCCAGGAAACTGCTAGTTTGTTGAACTATAAAGATTTCCCATGACCTGATTAAAAGAAGAAAGCAGAAAAGACTGTTGAAATGCCGTTATTTGGAAAACGCAGGACTATAGAGAAGGCTCTGCTAAAAAGGACAAACACTAGCCTGCTATCTGTAGAAAGTCCAGCAAGATGGCTCAGCTTAAGAGTTCAACTGAGGGGCCTCCCTAGTGGCGCAAGGGGTTAAGCACAGCTCTAAGAAGCTATCCACAGCCTCTGCCGCACGAGTTCCATCCCTGGCTGGCCAAGGAGATACCCACATGGCGCAGCAGACCTCTCCTGACTCGCCCGCTGCTCCCCTTAGCAGTGTATTTCAGGAGATCTGCCTGTTCTGCTCCCCACTCTGTTTCTGGTCAATCCTCTCACCCCCACATCTCTGGCCTTTACCGCAGTTCTTGTAGCATAAATAAATAAACCTTTAAAAAAAAAAAATTTCAGCTGAGGTTACCAGAGCAGGCAGGTAACTATGGTGGCAGAACTATGGTGCTTGCCTGTAGGTGTGGTAACATACACCTGAAGAAGTGGGATCCTCCATTTCTGAATGATACACAGTCTTGTAAATCAATGTTAATACACAGAAATTTCAGTGTTGATGTGTTGGTAAGTCATAATCTAATCTATCCTGATAACACTGAGGCCATAATATAGACAGACCTATTTAAATGACTGAGTTGGGAACTAGAACCAAAATTTCCTGGTTTCCAGACATGCCCTTTTACTATAAAAATTAAAACCTGAGGGCCTCCCTGGTGGCGCAGCGGTTAAGCGCTGGGTTGCGAAGCTGCCTGCAGCCTCTGCAGCGCCAGTTCGATTCCCGGCTGCTCCCCGGCCACCAGAGGAGGGTCCCACATGGCGCGCAGACCTCTCCTGCCGCCCGCTGCTCCCCTCAGCAGTGTACTTTGGTCCTTCTGCCTGCTCTGCTCCCCACTTTGGCTCTGGCGAATTCTCTCATCCTCCCGCGCTTCTGACTGTACCCAGTGCTTGTATAAATAAATAAATAAATAAATAAATCTTTAAAAAAAAAAAAAAAAAAAAAAAAAAATTAAAACCTGACTCTGATAAGGGCCAGAGTTTCTATTGCACCATTTACCATGTGTATGGGAATGACTCCAAAAACCTATCCATGAAAGACCCAGCACATATGGGATATCTCTTAAAGGATTTGGCAGGGCAGGTTGGTTGGAAGCAGATATAAAGACCGAATTCCCAAGCATACCCTGCATGGGACAAAGCTGAAATGTCACTAAAACTAGAGAGCTAGCAGAGGGCTTGCCAACCAGCCCCACAAGGTAACATGAATTACCATAGTTCAAGGCCTGGCCCTCAGGCTTATCCAATTTGGTCAGCAACCCAAAGCATAATCATTGTTCTGGATTCAACTTAGAGTACCCAGTTCAAGTTCACTTAAACCAAAATCTCACTTGTTAATTTATAATAAGAAATATGACAGCAACTTGGCTCACGATTTTGTTGGCCTGATTAATCATAGTATTCTCATAGTTGACATATCTGGTCACTTCTCCATCCTTGAAACATATTCCTGATCTGGCTTCTGGGATATTTTACTCTCACTCTCTTGATCATTTATTTGTTTTTCCTTCCTCACTAGAAATTCATTCTCAGATTCCTTTGTTTATTCCTCTTCATCTCCTTATCCTTCAATTGGAATGCCCCCAAAGCTGTCCTTGAAATTCTTTTCTATCTGCACATTCCTTTGATAATTTCTTCCAGTCTCATGACTCTTAAATAGTATCCACATGCTGGTAACTCTCAACTTTGTTTTCCAGCTGTGACTTTCATCTTGAACTCTTGGCTGCCTATTAGATATATTCACCGAGTTATCTATTAAAACATCTCAACTTTATCCTGTCCGAAATTTACTTCCTGATCTTAGTCCACAAGCAAGCTCCTCCCACAACTTTACCATCACAGCTAGTAGAAATCCCTCCTACTAGAATCCTCTTGGACTGCTCAATTTTTTCCACATATCCTCCACCAAATTCTGTTTCTCTGACTTTGAAATATAGCCACTTCTTATTGCCTTTAGAATGGTCTCCCATGCCAACATCAACTCCCTGAATCACTCACTGCAGCAGTTTCTCTTTTATCTTAGTCTCCTCGCTCCTTCAAACTGGTCCCAACACTAAAGTGATTGCATTAAACTTCTGTCATATCACATCATTGTTTTGTTCAAAATCTTTCAGTGGCTTCATCTCACTCATAAAATGCCAGTCATTAAAAAGGTCTATAAGGTCCCATATAACTTTATTTTCTCACCCATTATCTATCCGGTCACATTTCCTACCTCCTTTCTCCTTGTTCAATTCACTTATTACTTTCCCACTGGCCAAAGCAACTCAAATCACCAAGCTCAGAGCCAGTGTAGAAGGGGATTAGCCAAGGAGTGTGGATTCAAGGAGGGAAATTATGGTGGATACTTTAAAAAGAATCTGGAAATATTATTTTTAAAAGAAAAAACTAGTTGGGAGCTCCTGTACTATAATTATCCTCAAAATATTTTTTTTAATTAAAAGGTTAATACTAGAGGAAAGAACTTTGTACAGTTTTTCAGGGAAACAAATGATTTAAAATATATATTTTTTTAAATTCTGCTTTTCTCTTGCTCAGTGGTCCTATGGGACTGTCAGATATAATGCCATATTCCAGTCGCTTTGACCCCACCCTCATAACTCTGGTCTGGCTAAAACTCAAGGGCTGGCCCAGAAGAGGTCACATGATGCATCATAACCAATCAAATACCTTCCCTGAAAGTAAACTGTGGGGTCTGAGGTTGGGGTGGGAAGGGACAAAAAGTCCTTTGTCTGTTGAGGAAAATAAATCTGGAGATGAAAGTCAGTAGCCATATTTTATTGCACATAGGGAAAGCCTGTCTACAGAATGGAACTAATCTCCCCCCGCCAAAAAAAAAATATATAGTGGCAAAAAGAGAAGCTAACAAGTGGAATTGATTCTAGTTCTTGTTTATGAGGCCCCCCTTCATCACAATGCCCTTTTATGATAAATAGCCCTACGAATTCCTTTTTCGTAAGCTAACTTGAATTGAGTTTCTGTCATCTGCAACCAAAAGCTCTGATTGATTTGAAACCAAATAATAGCTATTAAATAAACCCATCTTTTCATTCTAGCCCAATCATCATACTTAGCTGTCAACTCTTAAATATTTCAAAACTCCACTAGAAAATGCACTGTCGTGAGGGGCATGGAGGAGGAAGAGAGGAGAGCTTGAAAAAAATGAATGAGTTGCTGAGAAAAGGAAACAAATAAGATGAAAAATTACCACTCAGAATGGCCTGACAGAAGGAAAAGGAGACATAAATGGAAGACTTTTGGCAGCCGAGAAAGTAAATGGAAGGATAAGAAAGATGACATGGAATACTAAGAACGGTTTTACGTGCAACACTCGTAGGGGTAAGAACTCAGAACAATGGCTATGGGGTTGTCAGTGGTTGTCTTTGGAAAGATAGACTCAACATCATCATGAGAAAGAAACAAGGGAAGAAAGAGTGATGAGCCAACTACACGTGGCACATTAAATTGAAAAATGACTTGTGAGGAGAATTACTGCTTGATAGAAGCACAGCCCTGTTACTTTTAAATGTTGGTATAATATCAAGGACGCACTAGGATGATACGGGCTTATCCTCACACAAGCTTTATTGTGGGCCACTTTCCCAAAGGATCATACTGTAAAGCATCATCTAGAGCAATTATGTTCCAACTCTTAGTTCCCTTGGGCTTATGGCTACGTTCTGTCTTCCAACAGCCCCCTACATTGTTTCCTCCCAGTTTTTGTCTTTGTTTGACAATGTTTTACATAATCTCACTAAACAACCAAATCCAGACCAATTTTTTTTTAAAGATTTATTTTATTTATATAAGAGCTGGGGTACAGGCCAGATGCGCAAGAGGGTGAGAGGATTCACTAGAGACAGAATAGGGAGCAGAACAGGCAGACGAACCGCAGACACTGCTGAGGGGAGCAGCGGGCAAGACAGGAGAGGTCTGCTGCGCCATGTGGGTTGCTCCAAGGCCAGCAGGGATCAAACTGGCGCTGCAGAGGCTGCTGACAGTTTCACAGTGCTGCACTCAACCACCTGCACCACCAGGGAGGCCCAGAGACCAATTTTTACTTTCAAACACAACATCCTCATTCCTGCCCAGAGTCGTTCCTTTACAATGTACAATTAATGTGAATACTTTGCTTATCATATTTTCAATAGTTGTATAATTATCTATGATTTGTTCACAATGTTTTAACTGAAGAGAAAGGGACTCTCAAGAGATTAAGGGAGAATGATGCATAGCATGTATCAACAGTCCCTGATCCACTCTAAGAGAGAATATATGCATATACTTTGAAATTCATCTGTGCATGAAATAAAACTATATAAGCAAATGGCTTTGGAAAGGGAGTCCAAAATGAAATGAGTCCTAATTATTAATTATAAGATGTTACCTACCTATATTTGTTCACTCATAAGTTTGTTTCCAACTTATGTGAAAGTGTTCCTGAGCAGTGACTGCATTTATGACACAATGGTCCTCCTAATCTGACATCATGGAGATGTGTCCAGGGTACTCCTACCAAGTCACTTTGTGGGAGTTCTTGGCAGTTACCCCAGATCCAAAAACTAGATCACTCCAGTTCTACCCTCCTATTAACCACACCCTATACACTAACTCGATCTTCAGGATGACTAATCTGGATGACCCAATGCGACAAACCAGTGAATCAACAGGTATTCCACTTACTATAAGCTCTGAATAGACCTGAGTTAAATCACTGGTTTCTTGATTAGAATAATTTGGAGGATTTAAAAATTCAGATTCCAGTAGTTTCTGACTCAATGGATTTGTAGTGCAGCCCAGAGACATGTATTTTTTTTTAAGTTTCCCAAACAATTACCATGTACATGCAGATGTGGGAAGAAGCATCTCCAGAAAGAATCACAAACTCAGTTTCCCGTAGGACTCAGGCAAATCAGGCAAAAAATAAGGTTTTCTAGGTCTATATTTCATTTTCCCACTTTTAAGGTAGGAGTTTTAAAATTGTTTTCCTTTCCTCTTTTAAATTTCACAATAAGAAAAACAGTATGAAGTGATAGACACTGATCCTTAATAAGGGAGAGCAACAGAGAGGAACTGTAGCAATCTGGAGAATTCATACTCCATCTAAAAGGAGCCGACCCTTCAGCTCTAGCTGTTGCCTTCCAGTAATTTATACCCTAGAGAGCTAGACGTTTTTATTCACCAAAGGAGGAAAAAAGTCAGAAATTTGAATTTTGGCATGAAATTTGCAAGGTTTTAAATGTTTGAAGCTCATTTGAATGATTTTAAAACATTGTTTGAAAGAAATAAAATTTATGTGCAAAACACAAAAGCCAACAAGCTACAAGGCTGGGATGTGTCCTCTGTTTGCAAATTTTCCTCCTCCTATTGCAGGAATTGCAGGGTTAACAACCAGCTCTAGTGCTTTTACAAAGCTTGTCTTGAACATTTCGGGGATCAGAAATCTCATTTGTCAAATGGTAACAAGAAAATCTGATTCCACCATTGCTCTGAGGATAAATGAAATCATAACTAAGAAAGCACATCATAAACTAAAACATTGATTCTCCTTATAGCAGTTCAAACAGAAAACAGAGTTGCATGCAGCAAAATGTTTGTTAGGCAACAGAAACTAAAAAGTTTTGTCTTTGGTCTTATCTTGGAAAACAAAAGTTCTGGGTTAGAGAGTTTTGTGTTCAAAAAATGACAAGATCAGAGACTTCAACTCAGCATGGCCTTTACTTTTGGCCTGATTATGTTTCCATGGTCTTTTTGTCAAATGGTGAAAGCTGATAGCTTGTCTCAGCAGGAGCCTGCAAGGCTTGGATGCTGGAATCCTCCTGTCTCCTGGCATCATCACCTGCCACAGCTGGAGGGAATGTGAACAGAGAAGGAGGAGTATGCGGAGGGCAGTCAGACTTAGACCAGTAAAGGGATACAGGCCCCGTGCCCTGGTTTTAATGGCTTCAAAGACAGAAGATGGAATTGGTGCTGATTAAATGAGAGGAGGCGCCAAGCCCAAAATGTCAGAGTTAAAGCTATTTCACTGATGTGGAAAGTCATCTTGGCACCAGCTCATACAAAAAGAAGAGAGGCAAAGCTGTCATCAGCTAAGCCTTAGAGGGCAACTTCAGCTCCCCACACCCAGGAAGCACTGCTCCTGGTGGAAGCTGTCAAGTCAGACGGATCAATCCTGGGGCTCCTGCAGTTTATTGAGCCTGAAATGAGTGTAGAAGGTCAGAGTTAAGTTACATCTTCAAATCTTCCAGCTGAGGAGGTGCTGAAAATGAAAAGCTAAGAACTGCTTTATGGCTATCTTATCTTTTCTTAAGGTGACTCTAGCCAGGAATGATATAAAATTTAACTAAAACAGACGCTCCTAACCTGTTTTATGCCATAGACACCTTTAACTATCTGTTGAAGACTGTGAACTGCTTGTCAGAATACCATTTATAAATTCTCAAAATAAAATATATTATAAAAGAAACTGCTCGAATATAATGATCAAAATATTAAATATTTGTGAGATAGTAATAGTGCCTCATTGTTAATGAATTAATTCATGACCTGTAACACTAAGTCTAAAAATTACCACTATTCTGAAATAGTGATGAGCAGTAATGAAGACTAACAGCATGTTGAGAAATCTGCAGTAACCATATTGTGACATGTGAATGCATGTGGTTCCTGTGCTGATGAAATCATAGGTGTTGGTAATACTCCTGTGGTTTGTGGCCTATTATTTATAATAGGAGCAAATTCTATATTTTAATTAGAAGTTAGTAAGGAGGTAATGTTTTTGCTTTGCAAGTTTATAAATCCCTTAGGATCTGAGGACTTCAAATTAAATATCCCTGTTATAAAATGAATGAAACTAATTCAGATAACCCATCTCCTCCCCCCTCAGCAGACAGGCAAATGAACGCAGTGCTTGCAAGCCCTCACTTTGAAAAGCTACAAGTTGATGCTAACCGTTGGTCAGAATATTTGTAAGATGGTAGATTTCAGCTAAATAGGTAAGATCCATTTATTTTCTATAAACTAATTTTCAAATTCGAGACTCCAAATTCAAGACTCTAACTTACAACCAAGTTAGTAAGAAACCTCCTATCCACTATTCTTGGTGTTTCTACCCAACCAGGTTTGGAAAGTTGACATTAGTCCAGAGTCTTCCTCTGTCTCACATCATCTAGGAGGGGGCTTGTGAGTTGATTGTGTCACCACACCTGCTGCCTGCATGATGTCTGTGTCTCCCTCTGATGGCCCCTTAGGGTTCACTGAAGCTCTGCTGCCTGAGACATGGACATTTTCCTTTATTTCTACCTCAGTCCTTTCTTCCTAAAGGTACAATGTGGTTATTCTTCTTTAGAGCTTCTGACCTCCTCATGATTGTTCTGTCACATATTTCTTCCAAGGTCATAAGACAGAGGACAGCTACTTGCTTAAATGGTTTGTAAAAAAGAAAGAAGGAAATAGAGTAAAAAAAAAAAAAGTTCATATTTTAAAATATTATCCCGGCACGTGTCTAAAATCCCACTTGGAATCAACTTCAAAACAAATGCACACACTGGGTATGAAAACCAATCTCTTAACTACACAGAAACTTTATGATTCAGTCAAAATTGTCATTACTCAATTTATCACCCCATCTAATTAAACCATATTTTATTCCAAATAATTTTTAGGCAATCAGCAGGCAAAGAATTGCAGCTCTGAGGATATTAACAATATGTTACGGAAAGGTCTTTCTAAATATGATTTTAAAAAATCAAAATTCAGTAAGAGAATATACCAGTAAATTTGACATGTGAAAATAAAAACCATATGCATGGGACAAAAAAACACCACGAGCGAAGTGAAAAAAGACAAGATACTGGCAAGGGTTTATTAAAAAGGGAGGCTAATCGCCACAGTTTAAAGAGTTCTTAGAAATGAAAGGGAAAAGATCCAACAACTTTTTGGTGGGAGTGGGTGGGAGTGACGGACAAGAAAATACAGGAACGGAAAAGAAATTCAAATTACTCATAAATATAATACACAATTCTCTCACACATAAGAAAACACAAAACCGCACACAGAGATTTCCTCTTCTGGTCAATATGGAACATAGGTACTAGGTTTATCCTCCTCCATGAAAATAAAAATAAAGACAAAATTTATGACTTGAACACAAGGTGTCTCAGGACAGTGGTCAGTGAGAGAAGGGACACACTTCTCTTACTGCGTGGAGAGAGTGTCCATGCTGCAGGGCAGACAGGTGAAACCCAAGTGGCACTTGACAGTCTGAATTGAAGAGGTGGACTTGGTAGTCTGAACGTCAAGATGACTAGACTTCAGAGGACCACCTGTGACAAGGAACTGCACAAAGAACCGTAACATTTTGAAGAGGGACCCCTTGAATCTTAAGCTAAGTAATGATCATTAAACGTATGAAAATAACCACACCTAAAAATCATACAGGGATGGGAACAGTTTGTGTTCCTTCACCCATGGCTAATGAAAGGGGACTGAGTAGAGTCCTCAGAAAATTATTGCCTCCATAGTGGGAAAAATTTAGCCTGAGACTAGATATTGTTTGGCGCACCCCTAGCAAAGTTGTTTTTTTTTTTTAATTTAATTTTATTTATACAAGTGCTGGGGTACAGGCCAGATCACGGGAGGGTGAGAGAATTCACCAGAGACAGAGTGGGGAACAGTAGGCAGACTGATGAAATACACTGCTGAGGGGAGCAGCGGGCCAGACAGGAGAGGTCTGCCACTCCATGTGGGATTCTCGCGGGCAGGCTGGGATCGAACCCGCACTGCAGAGACTGCCAACAGCTTCACAGTTCGGCGCTCAATGGCCTGCTCCACCAGGGAGGTCCGCTAACAAAGTTTAAAAGCAACACTTGAAAGGTACAAACTATTTCTAAGGAACACAACTGCATCCCATTAAAAATGCTCAAGGATATTAAAACACAAAGGAATGCAGCATCCAACAAGAGTGTCTTGGAGCTAATCCATCATTCCAGACCAGGCATGGGTAGGAGGAGGGAATTAAATACTAAGTGAGTCATAAATGGCAAGGATTATAAAATCAATGAACTAAGACATTAAAAATAGTCACGATAATAATATTCTATATGCTGAGAAAGTAGATTGAACATGTTACCTAAAAACACATAAGGTTTTTAAAAATCTACATATAACTTATAGAAGTAAAAAATAAAATTATTGTAATAAAAATTCACTAGAAAAAATTAACAAATATCAGATGTTGAAGAAGAAAAGATGGGTGAAGACAGTAATAGAAAAGAAATATATAGAAAAAAGTGAAATAAAACTAAACAGAGCATCAGTGAGGGAAATAAAATACATTTAATATATAAATGGAGTCACTGAAAAAGAGGAGGGGGCATAAAAATATTTGAGAAAGCAATAGTTTCAAATTTGGTGAACACCAAAATGTTCAAAAAACCCAAATACAAGAAATAAGAAGAATCCTACACCAAGGTACAGTCAGCTGTTTAAAACCACTGAAAGAAAAATCTTTAAAGAATAAAGACCTATTTTGTAGCAAGGAATCAAGATAAAAATAACAGTATAATTTTCACAAGAAACATAGCAAGTCAAGTTTTTGCTACCTATAAGAAACACTCTTAAACTATAAAAACGTAGATAGCTTAAAAAAAAAAAAAAAAAAAAGGTGGAAAAAAGAAAAAAAATGCAAACAAATACTTATCAAAAAAAAAAAAAAAAAAAAAAAAACAAGGGCCTCCCCGGTGGCGCAGTGGTTGAGCGCTGGGTTGTGAAGCTGCCCGCAGCCTCAGCAGCTCCAGTTCGATCCCCGGCTGCTTCCCGGACACCGGAAGAGGGTCCCGCATGGCGCGCAGACCTCTCCTGCCGCCCGCTGCTCCCCTCAGCAGTGTGTTTCAGTAAATCTGTCTGCTCTGCTCCCCGCTCTGGCTCTGGTGAATTTTCTCACCCTCCCATTCTTCTGACTGTACCCAGTGCTTGTATAAATAAATAAATAAATAAATCTTTAAAAATAAAAAAATAAATAATAATTAAAAAAAAAAACCCACAACTAGATTGACTATATTAATTGTGGATAAATCAAACAGAGAATATTACCAGGATCATCTTAAGTGACAAAAGTGTCAATTCATCAAAAGGAGATAGAATCCTAAATATTTATGCACCTAATAACAGAGTTTCAGAATAAGAAGTAAATCTAATAGAGTGCAAAGAGAAATAGGCAAATCAAAAAATTATAGTTGGAGGTTTCATCATCTCTTTCATAAAGTTGTGAGAAAAGTAGATAGAAAATCAGTAAAGATAGGAAATCAGGGTAGGAAACAGAGCAATATATAAAAATCATTTGTATTTCTATATGCTAGTAATACACATTTGAAAAGAAAAAAAATTACAATATCTTTGATAATTGCATTTAAATACATGAAAAATTTAGGCATATACTTGGCAAAAAATTTGTAACATCTGTACTGGAAACTAGGAAATACTACTAGGAGATTTTAAAGAAGGCATAATAAATGGAGAGATATACAGTTTTCTAGAATCAGAGGACTCTTTATCGTTAAGATGTTAATTCCTTCCCAAATTAATGTAATCCCAATTAAAGCCCAACAGGAAATGCAAAGAACTGAGTTTGCTGAAGTAACATTAAAAAAGAGTAACAACATTAAAGGATTTACACTTTCTGACTTCAAGGCTATAAAATCAATGCAATGTCTCAGTGGCTCAGAATAGACAAATCAAAAGAATGGAATAGACTCCAGGAATTGCCAACACATATATTGCCAATTGATTTTTGAAAGGTGTAAAGGCCATTGAGTCAAATAGGGAAAATATCTTTGGAGTAAACAACGTTGTAGTAATTGGCTAGCCACATGCAAAAGAAATGAATCTCAATCCTTAACTCATACCATACACAAAAATTTAAATAAAATGATTCCCAGGCCAAAGTAAAACTTAAACTATAAGACTTCAAAAAGAAAACAAAAGAGAAAATTTTAACGATCTTGGGTTTGGCAAAGATTTCCTAAATACAAAAAGGCAAAAACTACATAAAGGAAAATAATCAGCAATCTGAGTTTCATCAATATTATAAACTTTTGCTCTTTAAGAATCACCATTAAAATGAAAAGTTAAGCCACAGACTAGAAGAAAACATTTTTTATATACACACATATAGCAATGAACTTTTATGACGAAGGTGTAAGGACACTTACAATTCAATAATGAGATAAATGACCCAATTAAAAATAGACAAAAGTCTTAAATAGATACTATACCAAAGAATAGAGGTTTGGAGAGCAAATAAGCACATGAAAAATTGCTCAATATGAGTAGTCATTGTAGAAGCCCAAATTAAAACCTCCTAGGGTGACTAAAATTAATACTGACCATATCTAATTTGGTGAGACTAGGGAACAACTGAAGGCCTGATTCACTGTTACTGGAAATGCAAACTGGCATAACTTTGGTTTAGAAAACCTTGGCATTTTCTTAAAAGGTTGGACTTATACCTACTACATATCCAGTCTTTCCATTTCTGGGCATTTATCAAAGAGAAATTGTAGATTTACATACAAATGCCCACAGAAACTTAATTAACAGTGGCCCACACTGTAATTAAAAAAACTCCGAAAACTTACTCTTTACCCACAGGAGATGAAACACGAGACCAAGAAATTGTGGTGTCACCATGTCATGAAATATTACTCCACAATAAAGAAGGCTTAACTATCAATGAACATGACAACGTAGCTACATCTCAAAATCATTAGGTTAAGCAAAAGAACATAGACACGAAAGAGTACACGCTTCAAGATTCAGTTTATATAAAGTTTCAGAACATGTAAGCTAACCTATAGAGACAAAAAAAAAATGTAAGTGGTTGCCTACAAATAGGAGCAAAAGAAAGAATATTGCAAAGGGCCACAAGGAAACATTTTGTTGTGATGAAAACTTTTTGTATCTTCGTTTTTACAGTGGTTTCATGGGTAGATTTGCC